TTTTCGGTGGCATACAATACGCGAAACGATGTAATACATTATTCTGTTTACTACAATAAAGATCAAAAAAGAAATGGGAAATACTTACTACGCATAAACCAACTCTAAAAGTTATCACTTTCCAGCTTTCAAGTAGTACTTGGATGTCAATATTGCCCGAAGTAAGAAAAAAAATACGCCGGTGCAAAGTCTGCTTAGATGTTCTAATATAACAAGAAATTTGCTGTAACTAGTTCGCTGCTTTTAACTAGGCTTCATATTTACCCATTTACTCAAGAAACTAGCACATAAACGACGAATTCTAACTGCTTTGCCCCAAATCTCTTCGTTTTTCTCATCCATCAAAATGAAAGCGGAGCAGAATGACTCACGAGTAATGATCTCGCCGCGTTTGAATGGCAGTTCTCCCTCCTCTTGAGGATTGAAGTCGAACAACGCTTGCACGAATTTCGTTTCCAAATCCAAATCTTGCAGGAGGATTGTATGTGTACGTGACACAGAGGCAGTTCTGAAATATACAGAGATAAAAAATCAATAAGAAAGTAGTTCATATCAGTAGGTCAGTACCATTAGAATTAAAGCATAAAGCAGAAACCTAAACTTCTACGAGCCCTAGGGGAAGGCGGTATTCTACTTGATCTGAATCAATACTGGAGAACTCTGGTGATCCGCACTCCATTTTGCACTGCATAAGTGCAACATATTTCACTGTGACTCACTTTATTGCATAAACGGTTGCAATTTTCTTGCACAGATGGATGAAAAATCTACTACAATAACAAAAAACAAAACGCTTTGAGTACTTTGCATGATCAAGATCAGATGATTAATGAGAAACAATCCCAATACATCAATTATTACTTCGATGAATGCAGTAGAAACAGCGCTTGGATTTGGAGCGACTTGTTTACTTGGAATTCTGCTTCTCAAACCAGAAAAAGTAGCGACATATACAGATGATAAGTGATGCTCAAATGATTTGATAGCTTCAGACGGTCCCTCCACGCTAAGTCAAAAACGCGTAAAGAATTGCACATTCTTGAAAAACTACCATCGACATCTAGCTTACTCAAAATATCAAAAATACTCTTACCTGTGATATCTGACTAGTTCATTTAGTGACTTGAACTTCACCGACCATAGGAAGTACTTGCCATTATTGTCTCGCAGCACTTTGAAATGCTGGATGGTGTCTTCAAACCTGTAAACA